ACACACACACACACACACACACACACACACACACATGACTAGGAATGTAGTTCTACAGCAAAATGCCTGACTAGAATGTGCAGAACCCTGGGTTCAATTGCCAGTCCTGAAAAAAAAAATGATACAAAGAAGACAAAAGCTACATCTTCATAGGAAAACACAAACATGTTGAAAATAGCAGTAGTTAGGGGAAAAAAGAAAATGAAAAATTAAGTTAAAGTACTCACTTGAAAAGCTTAATATAGCAAATGAACAGACCAAGTTAAAACAGAATAGAAAGAATGTATTAACTATTTAATATGAATTCTTCCAATAAAGCCTATTGAGGCAATTGAGAGAATATAAAAATATTAATGCAATTTTCTTACCAAAAACAACAACAACAACAACAACAAAAAAAAAAACAGACTAATCCTTTGTCAGTAGGAAGAATAAATGTCCTGCCAACTGGGGGTGCTTATTTCCTAAGAAACTCAAAGCAATTTGTATTCTGTTATGGTCTTCAATTGACATCAAAAGAACCACACTGAATCTGAATTTCAAGGCTAAAGGGAACACAGAGGTCACAGAGTACAATACCTTTTTCTTTCCAATATTTGGATTGGATTGGATTACACTGTATAAATATATTCAAGCGCTTAGTTACATTCAACTGATGGCTAGACAATGACTAAGGTCACCCTTAAACAATGCAGCCCACTAACTTAAAGTGCCCAAATACTCACCTCGTTCCAAGAAGACTAAACTTAAATGCTTGAAATATTTAAACCTTAGATGGAATATTTGTAGGTAAAATATCATTTCTATTTGTTGTTGATAAAAGAATGATGTAGAACTGCACCTAGCTAGAATCTTCATGCACATTTTCATGCTTTTAAAAAATATGTTTGAAGAAATTCAGTTAAATCCAACATACTATCAGCATTTGTTTTTCCTGCAGAGTACAATAAATGGACTGGAAATTGATACAAAGACAACAAAAGCTGCATCTTCATAGGCAAACACAAACATGTTGCCATAAGTTAATTCTGAGGAGTACATGTACATTCATTTCTCTCTGTATTTAGTGCCAGTTGGAAATATTTACAAAATGTACATCATGTTAAAGTAATAAATAATACCATGTGTGAAATTCTGTGTATATTGATGAAACGTACGTGTGCATGTATATGTGTGTGAAATCTGGACTACTTCATTAAAAAAAATGCAATGCATTTCCACAATTCTTTATCCATAGAGTTTGTGACCAGGTAGGTTTTGAGATTTGTATAGTTCAGAGCTAGATGTTGATATAACACTGGTAGTGTTTATTACATGATACCCTCGGGAAGATGGAGAACAACATTGTAATCAAACCCCCAATTAAATAAACTGCCCAAAGACCTCACATTGATTTAGGTCAGGTTGGGTTTTGCCTCACAATTTGTTTTTCAAAAACTTATTGCTTTCCAAATTTAATTGTCTAAATTACCAACTAGAGATTGTAGACCTACAAGGGTAAAATTTGATGGTGAAATTTGAGGGAAATTTTTCTTACATATATATTTTTACTTGTTTGTAGTTTCTAAAACAAATATGTGCTGTAGAGAGTCACTTCCTAACAAGATTAGAGGAGGAGGAGGGCAGGCACAGAAGAAAACTCTACCTTCTCTGAAGTTAATTAAACATGTGTGAGGCCCAGTTTGAACTCAGCATCAAAGCAGATTAGAGAGAAAAACCAACACACACCTGGTGTGTTGCTGAGTTACCAGGAGGGAACCCAGAGAGGAGCAGCAGTAAACAGTGCTGAGTCAGAAACCAAACAGCCATCCCATAACAGCATCCCACCAAACCACTGGCCATTTCACCTCCTGGTTAACACATCCTCCCATGATGAGGAATCACCTCAATATGCAAGGTAAAGCAAAACCCAAACTCAAACCCCAAACAAAGAAATATGAAAGAAAGAAAACTACTCTTCAATACTAATAATAATGGATCAATGAGAGCTTCCACAGGTGGAAAGAAATGGCACATAGTTCAATTCATCCAGTTTCCCAAATGACTAGTCCTGGCAAAGGACATTCTGTTTTCTTCTCAATGTGTTGAGCATAAAGTTTGATAGATCTTCTTGGTTTTATTCTAACTAAAAAGAACCGCAGTGAAAACCATTATATAGATAATACAAATATAGGAGGCAAGACGTCCAATTGTTCTGATTTTTCCAAACCTCCCCCATATTATGGAGACAGGTGTGGAGATGAATAAGTGACCGGCCTTTGTATCCAGTGCTTCCCAATAAAAAGCTACCAAAGGTGGTTTTGTCCATTAAATGTGGGAATCAAATCATAAATTGATGTTTGAAGATCAGAGAAAATTTGTATAACTCCTTGGAGTGCAAAAGCCTCTGGTGATTGAGTTTACTAGAATTCTGGCCAGGAGGAGATCTGTTTGTTTTCAAAATGAAGAAGAATATTAACATTAATTAAGTACCTACTGTTCCCAGACAACATACTAGTAATTACCATAGCAACAACAATAGCTGACTTGTGTGAGCTCACTCCATGTCAGTCTCTTCTATACGCTTCTCACACAAAAACCATTCAATCCTACAGAAATTCTATGAAGTAGAGACTGCTCATATGAGCTGATGCTTATTCCATATTCCTCTGATTCCATGGGGAAGAAGTTCCCTGCAGTCACACTGCTATTACTTCTTAGTCTTTCCCAGGGGAGGATCCAGATGTATGTGACTGCTGATGTTTGAAGAACACACTGGGTATGCTGCACTCATCCTCCTCTTCCTTTCAACATCCCCCTTTGGGAGGCAGCCTCTACTCCTCCCCGCTAATGATAAAACTAGAGGGAGAGTCCTATGTTTCTCTAGCAGAGTCTTACTCTCTGGGTAAATCTATTTATTGTCTTGTCAGGGATTATTTTATATATGTGGCTGCTCCAAAATATTTTGTTCTCGGCTTGACTTGTACATGTATCTTAATTAGTTCAGAAATGAGGACCACATGAGGTAGATTATTTATCAGGGACTATAAAACCCCAACACTTGTGTTCCTAGCCTACAGTGATTAAAAAGACAAAGCATTTAAGAAATTTCCCAGTGATCCTACACTGGGGCTTGAATCCCAGTCTCCAAAGTGTATGTGCCATAGATCACATCTTACCTACACTCTCTTTACTACTCAGACTCTCCTGAAGTGTTGCTTTTATCATCACTATGATTCTCAGAGATTAAGAAATAGAGGGCTTGAAGATAATATTTGAACACAGGCTAAAAAGTCGGAGCAAAGACTGGCACATGGATCCCCTCACTCCAAAGGTAGGGTGTTTTCCAGTATGTTCTATCATCTGATCTACGTTCTAAACTGCTCTTTTCAAATATCACCTGCAAGTGATTCATGTCCAGGAGGGCAAAAAATGGAGCATCCATTTATGAAGTTACACTTGCCTTCTTTGATTATCAACCAAGACAATACCATCAGAGATGGAAAAAAATCCTCAATGATAATGGACAGGAGAAAATGAGGTAATAAGATTAAAATGGAAGTACAGCTCAAGTCAGATATTATTTTCCCACTATTTCCTATAATTCACCATCTCCACTTAGGAAAAAAAATCCTTTTAAATTACTCTTTTCTCTGGCACCCTATTTAATGCTTATCTCCATTTTTATTACTGTTCCACACATACGTCTTGAACTCTTAAATCAAAAATAACCTCTATTCATCCCTGATCATGAATGAACTTGCTTTATTAATAGTCAATAAACTCATGGTAAATGTATGTTATCCTATTGTCTGACTGATTAATGTAACTAACTGATTTAGCTGAGCTGTATTAATTTTTTAAGTGCTTACCTGAAAAGGCAGTGTAGATTCTCCAGCTTTTGCACAGAGATCAATTTTTGCTTGACTCCACTGAGATTCAGAGAATCCAACCATTTCACCTTGCTTTTGCAAATCTCCATCCAGGGATGTTCTTGTAAAGACTGAGAGAGATGAATGCTCAGATAAATGATACCGAAACCGTACCTGTTGAAAAATGTTTAGGATGATATAAATATTCCATTTACCTAGCTCTTATAGTTTTCCTATAATTTAAAACAGCCCAAAATGTAATTTTTTCAGTTCTACCTTCCTCCGAGTGTGCAACCCCAGAAAATGTTACTGTTGGTATTTCTCCCTTAAGAATCAAGGCATCTACACTACTATTTTTAACACATTCTGGAGAGGAGTCTATATACCTGCATACTACCGGCACTGGTTTGCAGACATACTTGTAAATGCATGTCCACACAGTCACGGGTAGCACCGCTTTGCTTCCGATGAAGTTTCCCAGGATGCTTCTCTCTTGCCTCTTATAAATTTGGTAATAATGCAAGTCTATTTTAAAATGTTACAAAATCAGGTGTCACCATACATTCTTTTTGCTGTTTGAAACACCAAGAAAAAGTTTCCTTGGAAAATTGCTTCCTAAAGTAATCAATGATGAATGGCTTACTTTCTGCTTAAAACACCAGTCTTTTAGTTTATTTTTTAAAACATCATGTAATTATATGCAGTCATTAAAAATGAAAAAAATTATATTGCTGAAATGGGATGATCTCCACAATAATATTCTTACATGAAAAAAAAATTAATAGATATAGTATAAAAATATATACTTAGAGCTGGGAATGCGGGGTTGGGGCTCAGTGGTAGAACACATACTTGTCCTAGGTTTGATCCCCAGAAAAGAAAGAATAAGAAAGAAACAAAGAAAGATAGATGGACGAGAGAAAAAGATAATATCTACTTAACTATATATCAAAATGTAAAGAGTATTATCTCTAGACCATAAAAATAGTGTTTTTCAACTTTGTCCTTTAATGTTTCATATTATCTGATTTTAAACCAAAATCATGTTTTACCTTAAAATCAGAAAACAGAAATAAACAGGTGTTTAGTATAAAATGTTTTCCTACATTTTAGAGAATTTCAGGATAACACAATATTTAACATAATATTCTAAAACTTTTTTTAGGTCTACTTAAGTAACTATGTAACATTAAAAAAAAAAGAAAATTCTTCCTAAGCAATTGTACTAATTACTTTTCATGAATTTCTTCTCTGTTGTGATACCATCGAGCAACTTGGGAGTTCACAGGATACTGTTTGTCAATATTCAATCCAAGTAAAAAAGCCTTCTTTGTGAAGCCAACAAGCCTTGATCATTTCACTTCTCCCCACCATCCATGATGGCATCATCTAGAGGTTTGATGGCTGAACCACATTCAGAAAGTAGAGAGGATCATGTCTGTTGCTGACAATAGCTTTAATACAGCATTTAGCGCTCATTTATTCCACCAATATTCACTGACCACTTGCTAAGTGCCTGGTAATGTGTCAGGCAAAAATGAATTGCCTTGCTACGTACAGTGGCTTACACCTGTAAACCCAGAGACTTGGGAGGCTGAGACAGGAGGACCATGGGTTTAAAGACAGCCTCAGCAAAAAGTGAGGTGCTAAACAACTCAGTGTAGACCCTGTCTCTAAATAAAATTTAAAAAATAGACCTGGGGATGTGGCTCAAGTGTCAAGTGTCCGCTGTCAAGTGTCTAGTGGTCAAGTGTTCCCGAGTTCAATCCTTGGTACCCCTCACCAAAAAAAGTGAATTGCCTCAATTTCAACTGGATGTTGGATGATTCATTCTAAAGTGTGTCAACAAGACTGCCACGAAACCAAGTTCAGTTACATTGCATCGATTTATTCTTCTTTGTATTGTCACATAGAGTCCAAAGGGTGTTATTTCAATACAAATCGAAATTCAAAGACAAAGCTTCTTAGAAACAGAGTCCTTATCATTGACTTCAAAGTGATTCTTTTTCAGTTTCTTTATATTTTAAATTCTTTTTTTTTTCCCTTTGTTATAGGCTCTTCTCCTATTATATGGACAGATACTACTGTACTAGACAACCCAATTTATTTCACTGTTAGGATCCATTTCTGGGATGAAACTTGACAAATTATTTCAAAATGTTGTTGTTGTGGTTTTCAGTTCAAAATGAAGCATTCTATGCTCCAAGGATTTTTTTTTCAATGTCTACTTAATTGCCAGCACTGAGTCAAAAATTCCTTCTGATTATCTGTGTCAGAGTTTATTACCATGCTCACCTAAATTCAGATCTTGACAAGTAAATTATAAATGTAAAGTCAAATGGAAGTGTTTAATTAAATACCATGGAAAAAAGAGGATGCATGTTCCCCAAATGCAATTAAATTTTAGATCTGTGCTGTAAGTTTCACATGTTTCCAGCTTGTAAATATGCAAAACAGAACTTCAAACATAGTTGTACAAGAGATGTGCAGGCCCCGTCAGAATTTCAAGCTGTCAAACTGTCACTCAGTACCTCACCAGTGTGAAGTTATGTTAATATTGTACTAAGTGTAAATGCCAATGGGATCCACATTCAACAGAAGAAGAGCTTAGAACTTATATTTAATTTACTCTTTTAACAGATTTGCATCATAGAGAGTTAACTTCTTTAGCTTATTAGAGACCAAGAAATCTCCCATAATCTTTTCAAATTTAATAGTGTTAAAGATGAAGTCATTGAACAAAAGTTATTATAGCTGTGATTTCACCTACTTATTCATGAAATGTGCAAACTCTGTTAATCTCAGTCCAATTCATACTCATATTAGTGAAGCAGCCAGAGACCCCCCCTGCAAAAGACCCTCACTATATTTGTAGCATATAAGTTCCTCTTCTTGTCAGAAAGCTATTTACATACCATATCAGCAAAACTTCTGCAGAGGGCTTTGTGGTTTGCAGTTTCTTTTCTTTTTTTCTTTTTTTTTTTTTTTTTTTTGGTAAATGACAGCTTTGAAAAAACAAAAAAACTTTTCAAACCTCTTTCTAGTCTTTAAAAACTGGAACAAAAAGCACTTGTCATGTAAACCTTCAAACCCCTCCTCCCAGTGGGTATGAAGTTCAAAGAGTTTCTAGATTTGAGGTCCAGAGTATGTTTAGGAGACATCCCCTCTGGATCCTGCAGCCAAAAATCCTGCTTCCTGAAAATTCCTCTGGTGTCCAGCAACTTCTGTCCTACATTGTTAAGACTCTACTTAAAATCATGGTCATCTTTTAAATATCTCACAAAACCTATTAAAGGAATTTATATTTACTAGGTATCCCATTAATATCTTTTTAAGAAGTAAGAAGAAAGAAATAAGTGGGCTTTTACTATTGGTTCTTAAGTAAATATCTACAGAGAAGAAATCTGCTCAATGTCAGAGAATGCAGAGAGCATCAGGTGTCCTTAGCAAACTTGGGGAGTCTTTTGGAGGAAAGAATAAACAAAAGAAAAGGAGTTCAGTGGGTTAGACAAAGGGAAATGAAAGAAAAAGCAAGGGAATAGAAATAGAAAGACAGTGGAATGAATCTGACATAACTTTCCTATGCACATATATGAATACACCACAGTGAATCTCCACATTGTGTACATCCACAAGACTGGATCCTAATTAGGATAAGATGCTCGTACAAATGTATCAAAAGAGATTCTAGTGTCATGTATAACTTAAAAGAATAAAAAATAAGCAAAAATCATAAGCAACTAAAAAAGAAAAGGGACACTTAAATATAATAAGTATAATGAGAAAGCTATGAAGATAGTAGGACTATTTAAATGTAAATCAATTTAAATTACACAAAATGAAAATTCAGTTTCTCAGTTATATTAATCACATTTTAAGTGCTCAGTAACTATAGGGAGTGGCTATTGACTGCCACATGGAACATAACAGAGGAAGTTTCCCATCATCACAGAACATGGTATTAAACAGAACTATATAGCATGTAAGTTAAAACCAAGCCAACTATTCAGAATGGATTTACTGCTTACCATTTAGAAATGAAAGTTTTTTCAGATTCATCAAAAAGCCACATCAATGTTTATAGTAGCTCAATTCACAATAGCCAAACTAGGGAAGCAATCTAGATGCCCTTCAGAAGATGAATGGATAAAAAAAAAATGTGGTATAATCACATAGTGGAATATTACTTAGCCTTAAAGAATAATGAAATTATGGCATTTTCAAGTAAATGGATGGAGCAGAAGAATATCATGCTAAGTGAAATAAGCCAGTTCCAAAAAACCAAAGGCCAAATGTTTTCTCTGATATGTGAATGCTAATTCACAGTAAGGAGGGTGTGCTAGGCTAGAGAAGAATAGAGGAACTTTGGATTAGGCAAAGGTAAGGAGAGGGGTACAAGGGTAGGAAGAATAGTAGAATGAATCAGACATTATTACCCTATGTGTGTGTGTGTGTGAGACCAGTGTGATTTTACATCATGTACAACCAGAAGAATGAAAAGTTATACTCCATTTACGTATGATGCGCCAAAATGCTTTCTACTATCCTGTGTAACTAATTAGAACAAGTTTTAAAAGGTAGTTAAATAAAATGTTAATGAAAAATATCCAATTTTATCTTAGGTTTTCACTGAAGTTCGAACATTTTATTTGCATGTGACTATTCAAGACCCTGAATCACTGCCTTCAAGGGACTGGCATGTGGTCAAAGACTCCCAACAAAGAGGGTTCTTAAGTTACCAATTAGAAAAACTGAAGCTCAAATTATTTTCATCTCTTTAATTGCATTCTGATTTTATTTGTACACAGAAAGAAAAGTCAAAAATCAAGAAAGAAAGCCAGAAAGAAAAAAATTCATTTTACTCCAGAAGGAGGGGCCATCGGCACAGGTGACTTTACCAGCCACTGAACAGGGTAGTTGCATTGGACTGTGCTATTCTCATCAAGACCACTCTTTGGTCTGAGGACTAGCCCCTCCCACAAAGCAGCTCTGAGGCCGTTTCCTATTTGCTTCTGTGAAAGATGCCTCAGGGTAATATTCAGAAGTTTAAAAAGATTTTTATTCTTATTTCTCTACTTTCTTTTTCATTCCATTTTGATCCTCCTCCCATCAAACCTCGTCTCCTCACATCTAATGCATTTTGCTCATTTTTCCTATGACCTTTGTCCGGTGGCCTCCCCATCTCAGAGCCCCACGGTCACATCGTCATGTCCTCTCTCCATTGTATTCCAAACCCTCAGCAACAGCACCTTCCCTGGTTCACACTGGACTTGTGTCTGGCTTGGTCTGGTTTTTCGCTAGACCTGATCTATCTTTTCATGAATTTTAACAGTTAAGAGGTCTAAAATCACAAGAAGAACAATAAAAAGTTCAAAGAAAACAAAGATTCCTGCTGCTCCTAAAAATTCATCTGGAAATAAGATCATGTTGGAAGGTGGATCAGCATCTCGCAGGAATCTTGGTCTTGGGAAGGCATTTGTGTGTCTAGGTTGTCACTGTAAGCCTGGCATTGAAGACAGGGAGAGCACAGAATAGCTAAGGAAGTAACACAGGACGAACCAGAGGTAGAGATCACATTACTGTCATTCTGAGCATTCAAGAGAAGAATCTTGGAAGAATTATTTTTGGTTTGGGGTTTTTCTTTTAACTTCCTTGAATCTGAACCACTTGAGAATCTCCTTGCATTGGCTACTGGAAAACCTAGACTCTCCTGGTGTATCCTGGTCCCAGTAAACTTTACTCTGAGAACCAACCTACCTCTTGTATCATTTATCTTTGTTCTGATGTCCTAATACACATTTTTTTAAATTTATAACTTTTTTTTTTAATTTGATGTATTAAAATACATTCAAAACAAGTTGAAGAATTAAAAACAAAGGGAAAACAGTAAGCTTATAAACTAACTTTGTAAGCAAAAGCTTCCTATTGTCCATCTTCTTGTATCTAATTACAAAGTCCTGAAAGTAAAATATTATATTTTAGCATAGCAATATAAATATGAAGATTAAAAGAAGAGTGTTATCTACATTCATCCCCCATCTTACTTATATTTTCTAGTCAACTGTAAACAATAACTGTACTTCAACATCAATAGAAATAGTAGCTTCTGGTTCCCACATATTTTCTTTATCCTATTTCCTATTTCAGTGAAAAAAAAAATCCAAGTTTCCACCAGTGGCCAAAGTGACTTTTGAAGCTGTTAAATTATAGTCCACATCTCGAACAGTGATTAGTTTCAGGAAAAATTGTGCATGTTGATGCCATGTGTTGCCATGTGTTGGCTCTATACCAACTATGAGGTAATTCATGCAAAATGACCCTAAAATTGTGTTGCTAGGAAAGGTAGCTCAGAAGAAAACTCATTCTTTTAAAGTCCTTTCAAAAAATATCCCTAACTGTATGAGTCTGATATGATTGCATAGGAGAAAAATCATATAATTTCATAAAATGAAGGCTTTAATCACATCAAAGGGCCTAACTCAGGTTATCTCACTGCTTTATTATTTTATAATGAAGAACATTTGTTCCATGAAAACAACCATTATCAAGAGGTTACAAATTAGAGGCTCTGCTGCATTTGCCAATTACCCCAAAAGGTAAAAATTTGGTTTCCTTATTTTGTAACTTTTATGAAAAGAAAGTGCTACATATCACCATGAACTTATAAAAAAGATCATGATGACAGTTCTTTGAGGCAAAATTAGCTTTGTGTATCTCTAACTATAAGTAGCTTCCCCTAACCAGTGCACTACTACTTCCCAAGTTGGAAAGTCATCCAAGTATGCCTTCACTTTAAAGATTACTAAAATTCAAGCAAATACTGACAAAAGGGATAAACAAATACTTCTGTGGAGGTCTGTGGTAGCTCCTTGATATGTTCTCAGTCTTAAAAAAATAAGGTAAACCATTCAGCCAGGATCCAAAGCCTTTGGAGATTCAAGTATTGGTGCTAAGGTAAACTATTAAGCATCTAAAATGTCCAGAACATTTTCACTGAGCCCCCATGTAAATAGATTCTACACCAAGGCCACACATTTGAGCAAAAATAAAGCAAAGTGTCCTCAAGAGGAAAGGATGACAAATTGAAACCCCATCCCAAAGATAACAAATTAGTGACTATCAGCAAGCATACAGAGATGGGAAATGTAGATCATCTTCAAAAACAAGGACAAAAATTATTATACACATATTTTTTCAGTGATGCTCAATGTTTGTTTCCTAATATAACTAAAGCAGACAGAATTCACACATTTTATTCTCTTGCATTCAATGTGTTTTATACATATAACTCAGTGGATGACCTTGAAGTTAAGTTAGCTTGTAAAGTACTTTTTAAAGTGCTAAGTGCTTCTGGGGTTCTTTTAAAAAATCTTTAGCTTTCTATTACACACGATTTAATTAAAATAAAGTTGGGAAAAGGTAAAGGGTATTTGGATGATGTGAAAATGGAGACAGACAATTGTTTTATTTCTTATTCCCACAAAGAAATGAAGAGAAAGATAAAGGAAAAAAAAAGAAAAGAACAACCTATTAAGAGCTCTGGACACTTCTGTTCAGACTTATACCAAGCTGAACATATAATTAGGTTTATAACTCTCAATGATGTGTAATTTATCATCAGGAATGTCTGAGTCAATGCTGTAACACTACATTTATACTCAATGAGTTCCATGTACTGCAGTATTGATCTCTTCATTATTTTCTGATAATTAAAGACAAATAGATAAACTGAAACTCTAAAACTAAAAGCCATGTTAGAACTCTCAAAAGGTCTGAAAAGAAAGAAGGCTGAATAGAAACATCTGATTTAGGTATAAAGTTTGTGAAAGTAAAGAAGTCATGATCAGTGAATGACTACTATGTGCCAAATACTTTACCAGGGACTTTGATCATATTTTAATCCTTACAACCATATGAAGTAGATAGTCCCATGTTTTTGCTCCTAGTATAGAAAGTGGGCCTCAAAAAGGGTATACAACTTATGTATCATTATTAGTAAGTAGAAAAACTGGGATGTGAATTCAGACTGATTCTAAAGTCCTACTTTCTTCTGTATTGTGCTATTGAAATAAAATATTTTATTGCTTGGTTTGTGATTATCTGGCATGAGAGGACTAACTGAAAAATAAAATTTCAGTCAATGCAATTATCTTTTCTGAGCACATTTATATTTTTGCATTGTTTCACATTATTTTCCACATTCACTTATTTAACTGATTTTTATGTACTTGGTTCATATTGTTGGGCAAAATAGCAAGTAATCTTGGCAATGTGTAAATCCATTGCTTTAGATTCCAGAAAAAAACATGTAAAAAGAATATAAAAATGACCAAAAACTTCTTTAAATAACCCACCACCTCCCATCAAATGGTGCAGGATTATATGCTGCAAATGGTCTTCTGGAAGGGCATAGCATCTTGTGCTGAAATAGCTTATATAATTTTTCTCAATTCATCAGGAAAATGATATTAAAACATGGCAGGCATTTACTAGCAGAGTAACTCAAACCCACTGGTTTACAACCACAGAATGGCCAATGGAAACTCAGAAGAACTGATTACCTGGCATGGAGTAGAGGCAGTGAGCAATTTTGTGAGGATGGGACTTCCAAGCTTGGCCACCCCAGGGGATTGATGTGCCCTCAAATAAATAAATGATCCTGAAAAAACAAATGTAGTCATATGGATATAAGTTCTTTTGTACAAGTAAAACTTCTTTGCTCAAGTTTCTTATCCCTGTACATATTCAACTGTCAGCCAGACAAAGAGAATTACACTTTTACTTATTTACCCTTTAGCTCTGTGGATAGCTGAAAGCATTTTCATATGTGCAACATTAAATATCTAAAATAAAATTCGATTGATTAAAAAGAAGCTCTTGATCCAAATCAGCTAAACAAACATTTTTCTTGCTTTAACTCACATCATAAGAGTTTGAAGTCAAATTAAGTGGAGCTTCTAAGCTTGCAATTAGATATTCAACATGCCCTTATAAAATTCCCACAAGAGTCTTATTTTTAAGTTTCTTCACAGAGTACTGAAGGATCTGAGCCTATGGAATGAGTTTGGTTTCTCCTGGGGCTTACATATTTGACATTGTTGTCTGTGCTGGAGGGGATGAAAGCTTAATTAAAGATCTAATCTGAACATTAACAAAATAACTGCTTTTAGATTTTAACTACAGAGGATGTGCTCATGGCAAATGTGCAGGAGGATAACATCTCTTAGCAGCTCAAAAGATCACACATCCTGAGCTGTTGTCAGGGGTAGCTTCATTGAATATTGAAACCTTACAAGGAAGACTATGCCAAACAACGTCAAGGTCTGATCTTGCCCTTTGATAATCGCAAAAGTGATGGGCAACTTGGAAAGCCCAGTACTTTGAGAAAATATCCCATTCAGACAGTGCTTTTCTTGAACACAGGTCAGTGCTGACTAAACAAAAAGGAAGGATTTCAGAATTAAAATGCACTATTTTATAGATCCCTTCACACATTTAACCAGCCAACCAACTGTAAAAGTATTCACATCTGCCTTGACCTCACTTTTGCAAAGTATATATCCTTTTTAATGCAATGGCTACAACACAAGTTTGGAGAAAGTTAGAAATGAGTCTTTTTAGTACATATAATGCAAAAATAAGAAACAAGCATTACCCTGCAACATAAAGAAATAAATTAAAAGCAACCCGATGAAGTTTTGCTCAGGAATGGCAAGAATAGTTTAATATTTGGAAAATCAATTTTCATTGCAAAATTGTCAGTCTGATGACCATGTGATCACCACAATAGAAGCTGAAAAAAAAAACACTTGAAAATTTTAACATACAGTCTTTAGCTGTTTTAAATGTAGCACACCATGAATGAGGGAAACATCCTTGTCTGATAGAAACAACAAGTTTTCAGCAAACATGGCACTTAAGGTTGAACTATTGACAGCTTTTCCCCTGAGATAGGAACAAGAGAAGTCTAGCAGCCATCACCAGTTCTATTCAGCAATTTCCCAGAGGTCTTATCCAGAAAATGACAGAAAACAGAAAAGAGAAAAACTATGTATACAAATACACACACACATACATGGTTTAAGATGTACAAATAAAATAAAATTGTCTTTGTTAGTAGATAAAACAGTAAATCTGGAAAATAAAAAAAATATACACTCTGAGCTATAACAAACTTATCAAGGCCATTGGATATACAAGGTCAGTATTTTAAAAAATAATCAAATTTGCTATATATCAACAACTTATACATTTTTAAAAAGGGACATTTATAATAGCTGCAAAAACTAGAAAAACATAGCAAAAGATTTTCAAAACTTCTACACTAAAAGCTACAAAATATTATTAGAGATCTCCAGTAATTGAAAACCTGGAAACCTTAAGAAGATTCTTTTTCAGTGAAATATAAATAATGGTTACATGTGAGAAATCACTTTATAACCATAAACTGGAAAATTTTAGGATAATTATAATGTTTCTTACTGATAGGAAAACAGGGAAGAGTGCTCTTATTTTGCTGCTAGAAATGGAAGTATTAAAATTTGGGGAGGGGCTGTGGATATAGCCTAGTTGGTAGAGTGCTTGCCTCAAATACAAAAGGCCCTGGATTCAATCCCCAGCACCACAAAAAAACTGTGGAAAATTTAATGTTTATTATTTAATATTAAATATTAAAATATGTTTTATGGTTTTAAATATTAAAATATTTATGGAAATAAAAAACTTGGGGGTAAGTCAATATTTGTTAAGAGTATACATACATATCTTGCTGTAAAAACACAGAGCCTCATTCCTAGGTACCTACTGCATAAAATTAAAATTGTTCAAAATAGGGATATAGGTACAAGAACAAATTTTGCAGCATTGTCACGATGTCACTGGATGGGAGAATAGCTACATTCATTATGGCATATGCAGATTAAAGAAAGCAAGCAAACAACATGAATTACACTGCTTCTACTTCCAGAAAAGACTAAGTATCATGAACCAGATTGAACCTCTGAGTTAAATTAGGAAAAAAAGTTCAGAAATATATATAAATAATGATTTTCAAGCATAGATTAATAGAGACCATGGAACAGTGATCTCAAAGAAGGGGAAACAAGTGTGCCAAGGCATATAGTTGCAAATAGTTTCCCAGCTCATTGCCTAGATGAGCTGCTTCCAGGGAAGCTCATGCTATGAAGGGAGGGGGACACAAGAGAAGTGTGTGGTCTCTCTGAGTTGAAAAGATAAGGTTGGTGCAGTGGGGAGACCCTAGTAGCTGGACTTCTTAACAGAGTGCTGTTGCCCCTTTCAGGTTCCAGAACTCTCTCATTTCACAGCTGCAAACAGAGCAAGCTCCAGTATCTGCAGAAATCCCCCCAATCAACACCTGAATATTGACCAGTGCTTGGACAAGAGAAAACTACCCGAGGCGGAGGGGAAAACTGCATTTGAAAGAGGCAGGTGGAACATTAACAAAGCATCACTAAGGGCCAGAAACAGTAGGATTCCCACATGAAGCAGAGTGAAAAAATTATGCATGGGTATTGGATAGAGTGCTCAAGCCAAATGAATCAGTATATCCAGACAAAAACACATATGTGAAATCTATAGTGTTTGTACTTATCTTCATCTACACTTGGAACAATCCAAATGCCCTTCCACTGGGAAGTGGATAGATAAACTCTGGTCCATCCACACAACAGTGATTCTACTCAAAGGTAGAAAGGAAGAAATAATCACTGTAATCAACAATGGTTGATGACAAACTCAAGTCAATTATACTAACTGAAAGAAGCCAGATTCAGGAGACTATGTACCATATGGTCCATTTACACGCCCTTCAGGAACAAGTAATCCATCAGTGATAGAAATCTCATCAGCCAGTGTCAATGGCTGGGTGTGGAGAGGTGTTGACCACAAAGTGACAAAATCTGATGGGATGAAACTGTGTTGATTCTTATGATGGATACACAATTGTCTATATTTGTTAACACTCAGTGAACTGTACACTAAAAAGGTTGAATTTCACTATGTTGAATTATTCTTTAACATATAAATGAAAAAAGATAATACTTGATTTGGAGGAGTCATATTTAGAAACAAGATTTAGGGACACTATAATACTATTTTGTAAAGCAATCACAAAAATACTTGTGATTTCAAACATGTACATATATACCTCTTTGCTTGGCTTTTATTTTTTCCATTTCTGGCTACCTTGTTAAACATCCAAATAGGCAACTCATGTAATTCTCTCTTACTTCTATGTATGCTGATGTAATTATACATAGAGGAAAGAAGAATGAAGACTTCATAAAAACTACAACAATAAAACCCAACTCAGACACATCAACCCATTCAGGTTTTGTGTAAAATTTACATTGAAGGTGTATGAAAGATAGAAAATACTAAAGATTAGTTTTAAATGCTGTAATCTATCTATAAACTCAAAGCTCCAAGAATCAAATAGATGAGAGTTCCATTTCTTAGATGTGAGAACTATCAAACTCTACTGAATTCCCCTGAAAATTTCCATTTCACTTCTTCCTTTCTCATTGTGGACCTAGTTTGTTTTCTTTCTCATCTGGGATTTAAAACTACAACTGATTATTGATTTTCTTCAGGTTTAATAATGACAATCTTGGGTAAAGAGGTGATGAGGCTGATTCAGATTACCTATATATAATATACATTATGTGTGTGTATATGTATATATATAACACACACACAAATAATAGATGTATATACTCAGACATGGTGGCACCCATCTATAATCCTAGTGCCCCAGGCAAACTAAGACAGAAGGATTCCAAGTTCAAAGCCAGCCTCAGCAACTTAGTGAGATCCTAAGCATCTCAGAGGGACCCTGTCTCAAAATAAAAAAAAAATAAAAAGGGACTAGGGGTGTAGATCAATGGTTAAGAGCTCTGGGGGTTAATCACCTAATCACTAGTACAAAAAACAAACAGATTTTATATATATATATATATAAATATATATATATATATTTTTATATATATAAATTTTTTGCTAGGCCCTTTCTAAAATGAGAAAGACTGAAATTTGTCCTTCTTACAATAAATGATAACAGCTCCTCCCAATTTTATCAATTACATTAACTTTAAATATTATTTGTATCACAGGAAAAGATAAGTAGGCTTTTCAATATTTAATACAGGGGCCACATTAAATCTTTCTTAACACAATTCATAAATAATACGGTGGCAAGCATCTGAAGGTGAATTATGTTTTCAAATTGTCATACTTAGTGGGATTCCTAGCATTCCTACTGAAATGTACAAAATCTATTCATTTTATTGCACTTTGATTATGTGAAAAATCTTAAAAAGTAAGATTTCCTCTAATTCTTATAATTCTACATGGAAGTATTTTTATTTTTCTTCATTTTTCTAGCTAACAAAAGTGAAGCCCTTAGTGCAGTATTGAGGCCATGACCTAACCCCGCGCAGCCTATGCTCTTCACGACCCTGTAAGGATAAAGGTCCCAACCAACCATGGTGATATAGATTCCCAACTTCCTTTTGGGAATTGCTGCCTCTGCTCAGGCCTTCATTATCTCACTGATAGTTCTTCACCACATCCATGTCTCTCCTACCCTCTCTTTTTTGTTCTTCTGTTTTGAGAATAAATGTGATTAGTTACATGCTTTACTCCGAGGAATCAGGTCTCTGTTATTCTGCAGGTGAAGTTTCAATTCTTAGATACTCTTCCGTTTCATGATTTATACTCCATGTCCAATCATATACACCTCTGAACCAAAAGTGCTTACCTCTCTCCCGACCACTTTCAGTGTATTTCCTCTAATTAGACCATGTTCCCTGCCATCTCCTCTTAATTCCTTTCATCTGCCTTCCTGGCTGCTTTACATTTCCCATCAGTGCTCAGTTCAGGACTCATCTCCCTCAGTAAACATCTCAAATCCATTTGAATCTCTCTCCAAGCCCTGTAAAGCATTTATCATACTCTAGGGTAACTTCTAACTCATCTGCTTCAACTACCATGGCTTCCACACTCAGGTCTAGTCTGCTGTGTATTCAACGAGGGGGGTTTGAACAAAGAACAAAACATATGAGCTAATGTGTCATATAATTCCAATTATTGATATTCCCCTTTCTCTTAAACTTTAAGCTTAAATCATTCTGCCACAAAATCTTATAGAAAAAATAATGAGACTGGCACAAGAAGCAACAATTAATAATATGCTATTAAACAATAAACTGTGTTTATAGTTGTAACCAATGGATGATTGATTTCCCTCCCTATTTTTTTCCCAACAATCCACAACCCAATATCCAATGACTTTAAGTAAAATAGGGCCAAAAATTATTTTTTGGCTTATTTATTTGAAAGTTTCAAAAGAGAAACAAGTGTGATAATGCTCACTGAGCTTGCAGGAGAATCTATGGTACAGTTCTGTGATTATAAAGTTAATATGACACTACAATATATAAGCAATAGTATCTGATGCCATACAAAAGTAAACAAAGGGAAAAAAGAAAAAAAGTCCATTTTCTTTCTTTCTTTTTTTGGAGTTTCACAAACCACTTTTGGAATGCTATATGTAGTTATAGCTCCTTCAATTTCCAGAGGAAATGTAAAAATTATAATGTTGGTTCAAAGTATATATGAGGGAGAAGTTCAATTGTTTGTTATAAAGAAGTCTCAAGTGTGATTAAATTGCATTCAAATATTTTCAGATTTATTTTATAGATAGTGCTAAATCTCTGCTCTGTTCCCAGAGAGAAGATTAGACTATTTTTCTTTTCTGTTTTGCTAAAAAAAAAAAAAAAATTGGATTGCTCAAAAAAAGGAAAGCAAGTCTACTGAACAAGATTTCTGAGAAAAAGAGGGAATTATCAGAAAAACTTTTCTCCCTTTTTAAACCTTCAAGCCAACCTGTTAAGAAAATAAAACAAAACAAAACAAAAATGTTCGTTATTGAAATGAACCACAATATTAAGTTGGGCAGGAGGTCTCAAGACAAGACAAACCAGAGTCACGTTTATATAGTTCATAGAGAGAAATGAAAATGCACAATATCGTTATTCTGCAACATGAAAGAACAAAAATTAATTTTTCAAAAGAGAAAGATGTCCTACCATGATTTGTGTTTTCTATGTGATCGGCTTTTGGAAAATGGTGCTCTCCACTGCTCAATCCCTTCACCACCTCCCAGTGGGAATCTTCTGTGAGAAATGGCTCCCAGCCACAGAAACCAGACTCAAAGTTACAGGTGAGACGATTCACTGTTAAGGATGGAAATCGAAACAGGTGAGCAGAAATGAAGTCAGGTTCTACAATGGAAGAAGGACTCTAACCTGTAAACTTAGGAGGGGGGTATAATCATTCTACTTTGTAGTAAGTGTTTCTGATTATCAGAAAAGCTTTCCTTTTCCCAATCTCCCACATTTCACATGTTCTGTGTGAAGCATGGCTCTTCTACATGCTTCTGTCGACAGGTCTGGCACATTTCATCCTAATTGGCCGTGTCCATTATATTTAATGACACCCGGTGAAACTCTAAAGGTTTTCACGGAGTTACTAATTCACCTGCCAAGAATATATCTCCCAAGATGGTAGTTTTAAAAATCCATTTGAAAGAGGGAAATTAAAATTAATCCTGGACACCTGAGGAACTTGAGGTTGGCATCTCAGTTATTTTCTTCATTATTCCATTTCAACACGTTTTCCAAATTAAATGCCTTGCCATTTTGGAATTGCAGGTAAATTAGATATTCTGAACTTTGCTTTTCTTAATACATTACTAAAAAGTTGGCCAATACTTAAATCACTACATATATCATTAAAGAACTAGTTCTAGGGAAAGTCAGGGTTTAGGGTAAGCTTCATAAACTTCTTTGCCAGCTTTAACACCAAATTTGTGAGGAAAACAGCAGGTTTCAGAGCACTTGGCAATAAACTAGAAATTCCTACAATTTGATGTTTCTGAGAAATTAGCTGTGATTGCTTAAATTTCCTTTCCATAGAATAAGAATCATAGTAATAGCCTATCTTAGATATTAGTTTGGGGGCTAAATTAATACTATTAATTTAAAAACTTATTTCTGAAATTTTCCTTTTATTACACAGAAGTTGTAACAGTGGGGAAAGGAGAAGTAACATAATCATTTGTTAGAAAACAACATAGTTTTGACAAGCTTCCAAAAATCATATTGCCATCATCTTAAATAATAATAGATATTTGCCACTGAGCTTTAAACATGTGTCAGGAATTCTACATATATTAACTATTCATCTCACAAGCCACATGTATGAAAAATACTATTATCCCCAAAAGAGAAAAATGGAACTCAGAATCCTAAGCGACTGGCCTGTGGTATATTTCAGTAAATGGCACACCTAGACCTTGAACCTGAGAGCCTCTGACACCAAAGCTTAAACTATGAAGCAACCCAGGCCTCCTAATTAAAAAGACTCATTGCCATGTGCTTACTTCTGACCATTATTTTCAATCATGTGCCCCATTTGGCTGACGTATTGAATAAGCTCATCACATTTTAATACTCAAAGGATCTTTAAATCTCTGTAAACCAGAGTGCCTGGTTTTAGTCACCTGGTATATTTTGTCACTAACTTATCAACTATAGATCTACAGAGTCACAGAAATCAGAAACACAAACATAAGAACTAGTACCTTAGAGAAGCACCAACTGGGGCACCGGCATAGCTGCCTGGGGTGGTAGCAAGGGGAAGGGGCAGCACAAAGAAAGAATATGGGGTGGGGAGTACTTTGAAGAAGAACTAATCCCAATCTTTCTCAAATTATTCCATGAAATGAACATTCCCAAGTATATCCTATGAAGCCAGTATAACCCTGATAACAAAATCAGACAAAGACATGTAGGAAAGAAAACTACAGACAAATCTTTCTAATGAACATAGATTCAAAATCCTTAATACAATATTAGCAAACCACATTTAAAAATATATTAAAAAGATAATACATCATGATCAAGTGAGGTTCATCTCAAGGATGCAAGGTTGTTTAACATACATAAATTGATAAATGTATTTCACCACAGAAATAGAATTAAGAACAAGAATCACATGATCATCTTAATAGAGGCAGAAAAGTCTTTGATAAAATAAAATAAACATTCATGTTAAAAACACTGGAGAAACTAGGGATAGTAGAAATTTACCTCAAGATTATAGAGGCTATATATGGCAAACCTAAAAGAACGAACAAGGCTCGTCATCGGAGAAAATGCCCGTTTATTGAGGAACTGCTTTGCATATTTATAGAGCCAGGGTGGTTTTACAGTTATGACAGTTTAATGGTTGAAGGGTTTGACAGTTGGCATGTGCTTTCTGATTGTTAGGTAAGGATCGTGTGAGTCACCAGGGCTAGTCTGATTGGTGGGTAAGGATCATGTGAGCCAGCAGGGCTAGTCTGATTGATGGGTAAGGATCATGTGAGCCAGTAGGGCTCACCATTGTATGGCTCTTCTTGGGGGATGGGGAAGTTCTTTGGAGCCGGGCGACTCCCAACAAAACCTAAAGTCAACATCATACTGAATGGAGAAAAACTAAAAACTTTTCCTCTAAAATCAGTAAAAAGTTAAGGATGTACACTCTTACTACTTCTATGCAATATAGTTCTCAAAACTCTAGCCAGAGTAATCAGGCAAGAGAAGGAAATTAAAGACATGTAGGAAAAGACAAATAGGAAAAGAAGAAGTCAAAGTATCACTATTTGCTGATGACCTGATACTATATCTAGAAGACCCAAACTATTTCACTAGAAGACTCCTAAAACTGAAAAATGAGTTTAGCAAAGTAGCAAGATATAAGATCAATACTCATAAATCAGTAACTTATCTGTGCTCCAACAGCGATTCAACTGAGAAAGAAATCCGGAAAACCATCCCTTTCACAATATTCTAAAAATACATTAATATACATACACATACATACATACACATACATACATACATACCTGAGAATTAATCTAACCAAGGAAGTAAAATGTCTCTACAATGAAAACTATTCAACACTGAAAAGGAAATTGAAGAAGACCTTCAAGGAGAGAAAGACATCCCACGTTCTTGGATAGGCAGAATATTGTCAAAATGGGCATACTACCAAAAGTAATTTATAGATCCCATGGAATCCCCATCAAAATACCATTGACATTCTTCACAGAACTAGAAAATAAGTCTGTAAAATCATTGGAAGAATAAGAGACCCAGAATAGCCAAAGGAATTCTGAATAAGAAAATAATGCAGGAGGCATCATAATACCTGATCTCAACTTATACTGCAGAACTATGGTGGCAAAAACAGCATGGTGTTGGCATCAAAGTAGACATGAAGACCAGTGGAATAGAAGAGAACACACAGAGACAAATCCACCTACTTACAGCCATCTGAAGCTTGACACAGGTGCCAAAAATAACCTTTTAAACAAATGGTGCTGGGAAAACTGGGTATCTATATGCAGTAGAATGAAATTAGATCCCTATCTTTAACCCTACACAAAAGTCAAATCAAATTGAATCAAAGACCTAGGATTTAGAGCAGAAACCTTGCAACTACTGGAAGAAAACATAGGGTCAACACTTCATCATGTAGGTATAGGCACTGACTTCCTCAACAAGACCCTTAATGCTCAAGAAAAAAGAAAAAAACGAGAATCGGTAAGTGGAATGCTGTAAAATCGAAACGCTTCTACACAGTAAAGGAAATGATCAAGATAATGAAGACAGAGCCTATGGAATGGAAAAAAATTCTCTGCTAGCTACTTTTAGCAATATATAAATAATACACATTATTTATATAAAAAACTCAATGCCACAAAAAAGCAATAAATGTACAAAATAACTAAACAAAACAAAGCAGGGTGAAGATGCCTCAAAAAAATTAAAAAAAAAAAAAAGAAAAGAAAAGAAGAAAGAAAGAAAGAAAAGCCTAGGAATAGAATCACTATATGACCCACTTATCCCACTCCTTGGTATTTATCCGGAAGAACTAAAATCTGCATACTAAAGCAAAATAGCCACTACAATGTTTACAGCAGCACAATTCATAATGACCACATTATGAAATTAACCCAGATGCCTGTTAATAGATGAATGGATCAAGCAAATGTGGTATATATGCACAATGGAGTTTTATTCAGTCATAAAGAAGAATGAAATAATGCCATTTGCTAGTAAATGAATGGAAATGGAGAAAATCATGCTAAATGAAATAAGCCTCACTCAGAAAATCAAGGGTCAAATGTTTTCTCTCATATGTGGAAATAAAGCAAAATAAGGTAAAGAAGGCAGTGGGGAAGGGGATTGGATGTCATAAAGATACAGGGAAGATCTGTGGAGTAGGAGAATGAGAAGAAGGGAGTAAAGAAGAGAAAGGGAAAAAATATGAAATGAACCAAAGAGATTCATATTATATACATATACAAATGTACTAAAGGGAATATTTCCTTTATGCCTGTGTAGAAACTACCAATCATAAATAAATACATAAAGGAGTGAAAGAAATATCAGTAGAGGGGGGAGAAAGGGTGGGGGAGGAAATAGGGGAGGAAAAGGGAGAAGTAAGGCAGATTCAAATCAAATTCTTGGTATAATTTTGTAGAAAGGAACCCAAATACTATGTATAACATTCTAATAGAAAACAATCCAAGAGCCACAGTTTGCCAGGAGCTAGCAGAAGCTTACCAAGAAGCAAAGTAGGGTCCTTCTCTAGAAGTACTAAAGGGACCATGGCCTTGCCAACAGCATGATTTCTATCTCCCCAAATTAGAAAAAAAAAATTAGGTTGCTTTAAGTCACCTAGATTGTGATGTTTCATTATGGCAGAAAGCAGTACAGAGAGCCCCAGTCCTATTTTCAAGAAGAGTTTCTTTGTAATGTGTTTTGTGAAAGCTGGTAAACACCAGTCAGTACCTACGAAAGCTCATTGTGCCAGACAGAAAAATAAAAAGGACTCTAAATAAGGTGATAACATAGGAAATGGAGAGGGGAAAATGGCCATTCCCATGTCTCCAATCTTGAGGCAAAAGCCAGCGTAGAGCAACCTTGGTTGTAAAGTAAAAGAATGTACTCAAAAAACAAAACAAAACAAAATATTCAATGGCAGTGCACAATAATAATACCACTTCAAAAGCCTCTGCATGTCAATGAAATGTTGAGCCTTCAGAGACTTACTTTTTCAAACAGTCATATAATGGATATATAACAAAAGATGTATTTGTCCTTGTAAGCAAATATTATTTTCT